TCGCTGATTGGTAACTATTAAGAGTTTTGTTCGAGTTTTTGTTCGTGCTTGGCCGATAATTTCATCGAATGTTCACGGAACGAAGAAATTGTAGAGTCCACTGGACGAACAATTGTATTTATTTCATTTTGTTCTAATTATTTTTAATTTTTGTTTTAATTATTTATTAAAAATTCGACGTTTTTCTTATACACTTAATATTTAATATAACTTTCTTTCTATGATTTATTATTAGACGCATCAGACTGAAAAAAGATTATTAAAGATGCGTTTGAGGAGATGCTATTAGTGTTTGTATCCTTGTTTTACGTCTAATAAATGATAAAATGACATAAAGTAGTCTCTCCGAACACATCTTAAAATTGAAAAATATGACACAGATTTTCACTACACAATAACAACGAATTAATTGAAAACATAAACAAAGAACTCGAACAAAAAAATACATAAATTAAAAAGGAAAGGAAAAATAAAGAATAATATCTTATCAATAATATCTTATTAATAATATCTAATATATATTACAAATGTGATTATAAAAAATCCGATTCAATCTTTTAATATTGAATCATGTATGTGCAATATGTTTTGTACCAGACTACGCATTGAAGATTGAAATTGAAAGATTGAAATTTGACCAATCAAAATAAAAAGAGCTAAAATTTCTTTTGTTCTCATTGATTAAATGTCAATCATTAATCTTTAATCTCAATCTTCAATGTGTAGTCTGATTCCGCTTTGAGATGTAATTTATTAAATTTTTGTTTGCATTACTTATTTCTCATTTATTTTATGTTTATCCCTGGTGAGAATTTTTCATTTTTTATAATTTTTCATATTTTAAATTTATAAAGATTTTTTCATGAATACTTTATAATTTCTCAAATTTTCTAAACTTTTTTAATTATAATGAGAAATCTTATTATATTCTAGGATTTCTCATTTTCATAAAGAGTTACACGACACTGCTACCAAAGGGAGCACAGCGAGTTAAATTCTCGAATTCAAAAATCATAAATTTTAATTTTTAAATAAGTCCCAAAGGACTCTAAAATGAAAGCATAATACTTTGTTTAGATAAATTCTACTGTTCATCTAAAAAAAATCTGTGTAACATTCAAAATTTTTCATTATTTTCTCAGCATTTCTAAAGAGTATTCCAATTCGCATGAAAAAAATCTAAGAAATTTTATTAAAAAGTTATAACATTCATACAGAAATTCTGAAAAGTTATCTAAAAAATTCTAAGAAAAATCTAAAAATTTTCTCAATTCGTATAAGTATTATAAGCCTTTTCTTTTTTAATAACATATAAATATGTTATATTTTATGTCATTATAAACGAATACAAAGCTCATAACAAATCATCGAAGATAAAGGATGATAATTTTTTTCAAGCATTAAGAAGCTTTATAAATAAAGAGCGTTAAAGATTGGAACGAAAGAGAAAAGAGCGAAAGATTACGAGTAAAAAATTATGCTTAAAAATTATTATACTTAAAAAATAAAAAAAAAAGAGTCAATGTTCAAAAAATTAAATGAAAAAAATTATAATTAATGCTGCATTAAAGCATTAATTATATTAATATATTGTACTTCAGATGATATCTTCCCTTTCACCGGTACGACCTTGACGAGGAAGAATTCAGTATCGCCCCGAAGTTATACATGAAAAAAATGCGTTTTTTTAAATATCTAAAAATTTTCGAATTATGAGTTATATCTAGCTAAACTTTTAAATACTTGAGCAAATTCATTATCTCCGTAAAAATCTAATGGTGGTTATTAACATATCCTGTTGCTAATTTAATTGAAAATGAATGAACCAATCGGTTCGTCGCATTTAGGGTACATCCACACGAATTTGCATAACCACATAAACATATGCATAAAGAAAATAATCTAATCGTATAAGGACGGGCGTCTTTATAACAGAAATGTGATTGGATAATTTTCTTTATGCATATGTTTATGCAACTATGCAAATTTGTCTGGATATAGACCTAGACCGGAATCAGACTACGCAAACGATTGAAACTGAAGATTGAAGATTGAAATTTGACCAATGAGGACAAAGAAACTCCTTTTATTTTGATTGGTAAAATTTATATCTTTCGATCTTCAACGCGTAAGCTGATATACTGGCTTTAAATCAGAATTAAAACAATAGGAGCTAAAATTCTTTTGTCCTCATTGGTCAAATTTCAATTTTCAATCTCATAGCGTTTTCGGCCCGACCGAATTTGCATTAACTTGAATTGGAAAATGCTTCGCTATTGGTTGACGTTATGCTCTACCAATAGGAAAGCGAAATATCATTACTTCAACCCAGGTTGATGCAAACTCGATTGGACCGAAAATCTGCAATGCGTAGTCTGATTCCGGCTTTGCTTCGAGACTATATAGATAGAATTCCAAGTAAACGAGAATAAATTGAAATGGATAAAAATGAATTTCGATATTTCCGAATTCGCGCTTCTGATTTTTTCGAATCCATTTGAATCCATGAATATATTTGAATTTAACATCTGATAAATAGTACATTTCGTATTTTAATTCACATTTCAATCAAAAAATACATCACATAGTTCAAAATTATAAAAATTCACACTTTTGTTTAAATAAAAAAAGTTATGACGGAAATATGTAAGTCCTGAATTTACATCTGAAGTACAGAACCGGCATTAAAACTGTAGGTCTTCATATGCTCAATTGAATGACAATTGAATAATCAGCGTGCACCACAAGCATATGAGAGAAATGTAATACAGGTCAGAGGCTTGACGTAAGAAAAAAAAAGAAAGAAGATTTAATATAACAATGAATAAATGTTAACATTAATTAATCAGTAAAAAATTAGTATAACAATATTACATTCAAAATGTAGTAACTTTACAAGTTGTAAATTTGAAAAGTTTGTATTATGCTTTACTCTTTGGTTTTTTGCAGAAATTTGTTTATTGGTGTTTTTAATTCATATGCAAGTACGTATATGTACTATAATAATATACTCATAGAATCTTTATATTTTGTATTTGCTTTTGAATCTTATCGGTTACTGTTTTGAAGATGGATCTTTTCGAAAAAAAGATTCTATGAAATATCTAAAACTCGATATTCGCTTTCACAACTTCATATAAATGAGAAGGACTAATTAATCGTCCTTTAGAAATGTAGTTAATCCAATCATTTTCTGAGTTAACTTTCAATAGAAATGTTCCCAAATCTTTATATTTATGCATAAATCTGTATGCTGATATAATTGGCAATGTCAGTGCTTCTTTTGTAACAGAGCCTTCCAACAGCATGCCCTTTTACGTTATGAAATCCCTCTTCCTTCTCATTCTATTAAGTTTCTGATTTCAAGAGACAGATCACAGTATCACACTATGATTCTGTAATCCGTCTTTGTAGATCAGAAATCTAATCGGAAGAAGAAGGAAGAAAGATTTCATATAACATGCCGTGCTCGAGTTGGAAAGTTCTATTCTATGACATCAACGACATCCAATATATCAATTTCATGCAATAATGTCTATTCTTCTAAGGAAGGGATATAATTCAAAGCATAGGCGACTGTAGAAGAAAAATGAACAGTGTATATATTAAAATTAAATATCGTAAGAATTTTTTTTGATGTTTTTTTTTTTTTACATTTTTGTATTTTGTATATTTTTTATTTTATTTTGTACGTTTTTAAAAAAATTTTCAATATCAGAATCATTTTAGTGTCTTCTTGTAAGTTTTTTGTACTAAAACTTAAAAGAGTTGTATGTAATCAATTAAGATTATTAAATGAACGTATAAGAATCTTATATAATTTGTTCATGAATCTCACCAGTAATCTTTAACGACCTTAGGAATCTAGAATGAATCATATACAGACATCTATATCGCAATGAAAAAATCTTGTCTTAGCCTTATGAGAAACTTTTAAAAAATAATTTCTTTACAAGATTATCTAAAAATATGGTAATTATTATATATATTATATATTCTGAATATATTATATATTCTGAAATGTTTCATGAAAGATCATTTATCAATTTTAAGAGACATAGTTACGAAATAATTTATTTTTTAAATTGATACAAGAATCTGGCATGAATTGTATATGATGATTGTAGCAATGAAAAGATCTTGTAAGGAATTCTTAAAAAATAATTTCTTTGCAGGATTCAAGAATATGATATTAATTATGCATGATTCCTAAGTGTTACATGAAAGATCATATATCAGTCTTAAAAAACATATAGTTACGAAATAATTTATCTTTCAAATTGGTGCAGAAATTTGGCATGAATCGTATACAACGATTTATATCGCAATGAAAAGATTTTAATTGCTAATTTAGCCTAATAAGATATTCTTAAGAAATAATTTGTTTACATCGCTCTAAAGTAATAAATTGATCATCTCAGTAAATTATTGAAGAAACAGAAACTGGATTAAATATATGAAATAAAAAAGAATTAAGAAAAAGTAAAAAAATTTGCTAGAATAATGAAAATAACTGAATAAAAGATCGAAACGTATATTATTCATTGTCTTAATGAATTGATAAATTATAATTTCGCTATATAATAACTGGCGTAGGCTTTTTATGATCTTTTCTAAAATTAAGTTTCCCAGCAAACGAGAATGGATTGAAATGAATTGAAATGGATTCAGATTTTCAGAAATATTGATTCATGAATATTAAAATGAATATTTTTCAATTCTGAATACATTTTTATTCATTTATAGGAATTGTATGGAGCATATCTCTATGCCTTTCAATCTAAAAATAATATTAGCTTTTTCTGTGTACACAAACACAATTGTGAATACTGTTCAATTCAAAATTTTGAATAGGAAATGCAGTTTTTCAATCCAATTGCATTCAATTGAATCTAATTGAATCCAATTGAATCCAATTAATTCCCCAAAAAAGTATTCGCTATTTAAAATACGCATTCGGATAGAAAAAAAATTTCAATCCATTTTAATCCATTCTCGTTTGCTGGGTTGATTTAACCGAGAAACCGTTATTTAATTTGTGTAAAAAAAATTAATTTTTACCAAAATGAATTCTTTTAAATCCCATTCAACTCCTTGCTTGTCCCATTCCATTTTATTTACTGGGATACGAGCAATAAATCACACAAAATACCAATAGTATTCTTGTAATATTTTCATAATGACACTCCAATTATATTCAAGTAACATGCATGTAAGGGCGAGTTCACACTTGGATGGAAAAGCGGAAAAGCAGAAGCGATCTAATTGGATCTCGCAGTAGTAGGCAGTACATTCTGCTTCTGTCGTTCCGCGATATTGGCTTCCGCTTTCCGTTTTTCCATCAAGGTGTGAATCCGAACTAAAAATCATGCTTATAAGATTCATATAACATGAATGTAAGATTCTGGATTTACTTGGTATTGCATGCGATTGTATATTCTTATACAAGCTTGTATTTCTGTCCGAAATTCGTATGTAAAAATTTTCTTAGAAGACCTTACAAATTTTTCTTATAAGAATTTGTAGCACATAAAGTTCTTATTCATATACTTTTTTTAATTTTTCAATACAACATACACATACACTTTCTCCTTACTTTCTTCAATTTGAACTTGGTTTGACAAATAAATTTCATCAAAAGAAGAAATTTCATCTGAGTAGAAAGCTCTCCTCATTTCTGTCATGCTTCGATTTTTTTTTTTCGTCATTGCTGATTCGTCTGTTAAGATGCCTTTGTCAATGTTGAAATCCGTTATCCATTTTCGAAGGGTTGATGTTGCAGGAAATTGTTTTGTTTTTCTCAGATACTTATAAGCTTTTGAGAGTACGCTTTTTAATGAAATTGCAGCTTCAATATCCTCCTTAGTCCAACGGATCTTCTGCGTCAGATTTAAAAATAATTCTATTTGTTCTGGCGTAAAAAACAGAGTTAACTTGTCCTGCATTTTCTGTATCAATTGCTTCTTGTACAATTTATCTTTTAAAGCTTGTTGACGTTTATGGGTTTCCGTTTCCGATCCAGATAAAGCTTTTGTTTCCAGAAATAAGGTTGCATTTCTATGTTGTAATTTCTGCATTTCCTGAGAGATTTCTGCTTCAGGCATAAAAGGAGAAATATTTTATTATATATGAAAAATAATTATATAAATAAATATGTATATTTATGTAAATAATAAGTAATTAAGAAACAACTGAAATGCAGTGATAAAATGTACCAATGTTAGGAACCACTGCAGTATTTAGCGCAGCTTGAGTTATACAGCTCGATGTGGAAGTCAATGCAGTACAATCTATACCTGGATTAAACGAGCAATGGGCAACGGGTTGTGCAACATCTACTTCTAAAAATATATTCAATACATAAGAAAACAAAGTACAAGACAAATATTATTGATATATATATTATAAAAATTATTGTTTGAAATTCTTTATAATAATCACTTTAAATGTTAAAAATGGACTATATGTATATAATGGACTATACCTAAATCGTTATCCATGGAAATTTTGTTGTCCTCTACAGCTATCAATGGAACTGCATCACGTTTGAGTTTTATTCGTACATTCCCAGATTTTCCAACGAAATCTTGTAACCACGATTTATCTTCAAATTGTGAAGGATGAAAATGTTTCGAACAGATACGAGCTAAATAAAAAAAAAATAAATAAATATGATAATGCTTGATGATTTGCAAAGCAATAAAAATCTTGATAACGATCAATAAACGAGCAAAAGAGATATTAGAATAGAAATAATTTAATTATAGTTAATACATAAAAATAATTCCGCAAATGTTTCTGTTAAGAAGTAATTTTACAAGTTTGATGTTAATTTTAAGTCTACAGGTTATTTGATAATGCAAACTGAAATCTATCGAAAAGCAGTCTTTCAATCATCGATTAATCTATATTCTTCTGTTCTATGTTGCGATTGTTTTTCGAGATTCGATGCTTGATGTTTAATTTAAATTTTGTCATGTGTGTATCACCTTATTCTAGATAATAAAGCATATATTCTGATGTCTACAGTAAAACCTGTGTAAATCATTAAAATAATTCAACAGTTTCAACTCACAGAGGCTTCATCAGTACGTATAAATACAATTAAATTAAATTAAATATTAACATCAACACATGTCATCTATAGTATGTCAAAATGAAGATATAAAAATAGCATTCGTCCTCTTTAAGATTATTACAATCAAAATAGTTATATTGTCCAAAAGAATATATAACAGTCAAACTAATTAAAATCCTTGTTTGACAGCGAGAATCGTGTTAGTCCTTTATGTGTAATATAAGTCAAGAAAATTGTTCTAAATCAAATAAATTTATCAATTATGAAAGTGGGTTATCAAAAAACTATTATAAAAAATAAAATATTGATTGAACTTATGTAACACAGTATAGTTAATAAAAATGATCTAACAATAATAACAATCAATAATAAATACTTGATAATCGTAAATTATTGATAATCGTATATTTAATAATCGTATTTATGATATAGTAATAGCTCAAATATAATTGACAAGGGAGGTTCACAACTGTCCGGAATTGATAAATCGATTTGATTCTCCATGAAATATGTTGTAAAAAATCTAAGAGATACATATTTTTTTATACATGCGCTAACTCATGTTTAAAGGATGAAACACTCCTTCGAAAAAAACCAATAATTTTCTTTCGAGGCGAATATCATCGGAAATATAGAAGATAGAAAAAAATGTTTTAAACAAAATTGTACAGTTTCAAGAATACTTTAAAGTTATAAAGAAAAAAGTTTTTTTTATTTTTTTGTTTAACAAAAATACCCCCACCATCCATAATTTTCTTAAATTTTCGATTTTTTTTTTACCAAATTAAAGATTATTTTTTTCAACTATGTGTAATAAAATTACATTACATTTTCGACATATCATTTTCGAGAATTAATTATTAATGCTTCTGTATATACGCTAACCATGCTCAGATACGTAATTGTCATCGGAACATCCTATCAAGCTAGAACACCAACATGAGCATGATCACATAAGACACACGGAGGATTTAGTACTCTTTTATGCTAATTTGTTGCTCTAATCCCGATTTTATTGCTCTAGCCGTTGAACAAGAAATCATTTTTCTGCTGGTTTTTAATAAAGTTAGAATACACATCAAAATAATAATAATAATAAAAATCTATACGCTATAATTTAGTGCTAATTATGTGCTTTTAACAATTTTCCTAGTTTCAATTTCGGTGCGCTACCTTTTATATCTGAAACAAACGCAATACGTGTATCGTACAAAAGAAAAGTACTAAAAATAATAGATATAAAAAAACACTCACTACAATTTAATGCTGATTATGTGCTCGTAACATAAACTAGTTTAAATTTCGAAGTGCTATCCTTATAAAGTTAGAATGCCCACAAAAAAAATAATAAAAAATAAAAAAAATCACGCTATAATTTAGTGCTAATTATAGTGCTTTTAACATACTCTAGTTTCAATTTCGGTGCGCTATCCTTTACACAAAAAAATCACATTTGCGGAAAACAATCTCTACACCATATATATCTCTTTTGCTATAAAATCAATCAGCAGGATTTCATGAAACTCTATGAAGTATCGTAATTTTTTTCAAATGTTTTTGCGTAAAGAGTAGCGCAAAAATTGAAGCACCAAAATTGAAACTAGTATGTTATAAGAACATAATTAGCACTAAATTATAGATTTTTTTTTATTTTTATTATTACTTTTTTAATGTGCATTCTTTATTAAAAGCCAGTAGAAAAATGATTTCTTGGTCAACGATTAGAGCAACAAAATCGAAAAAGTTTAGAGCAACAAATTAGCACAAAAAGAGCACTAAATCTCCGTGATTATGCTCATGTTGTTATTTTAGCTTGATAGACATGTTTCGACATGTTACGTATATAAGCATGAATAGTGTACGGAAGCGTTAAAAATTCTCGAAAATAATATGTCATAATGTAACTTTATTACACATGATTGAATTCGTAAAAAAATAATCTTTAATTTGGTAAAAAAAATTATCGGTTTTTTTCAAAGAGTATTTTATCCCTTAAATTTAAGTTAGTGCACGTATAAAAATATGTATGTCTTAGATTTTTGTGTTTTACAACATATTTCATGGAGAATCAAATCGATTTCGGAAATTGGATAGTTGTGAAACTTCTCTTGTGAGATAAAACTCGAATTATATGTTATATTATACGCAACTGTAATATAATCGCAACTGTAATGTGAAATTCGAATATGACTGAGATAAAACTCCGATTGTATATCATATTATACACAAAGAACCTTACAATGTTCTGTGTAATCCTAATCGTTATTAGTTAAAATTTTACAGTTAGTATGAGAGAAAGAGAACATTATTACTAACATGTGACAGTTCTTATAGAATGTCGAAATAAGCTCTATCCAACAACTCAGTACCTTTCATATAATTAATACTATTTTTTTTTTGTTCTTTTATATGAATCATCTCCCTTATTAATCTTTTTTTATAATTATTCTAATATTATTTCTAGTATTTTAACACTCTCCCGAAATCGAATGTGTTAGATTTTATGTTCTGAGATAACTGAGTGTTTGGAGAAATCCTTTATGTTATTATAATATTATTATAATATGTTTCTAGTTCGCAATTGTCTTTTGGTTTGTCCAACATATGAGACATCGCAATTTTTGCAAGAGATTTTATAAACAACATGATTATTATGTAATAATTCGATTTTATCTTTTTGAACTTTTATAAATTTATTCAATTCGTTCAGTGTGCAAAAATTATAGTTGCGGACTTGTTAATGAATCATGTTGTCCTTTCCAATACGCCACTGACATATGAGATCACCATGAAATCCTTTTTATTAATCGGAATATCTTTTATCGTTTTATCTCGTACAGATCTTATGTACGAATAATTTCTTTAATCTCCTATATAATCCCCTTAATAATATTGAAGATGAAGCCTAAAAGATAATCATTTTTCAGAAGCATGTTGATGCATAAATCAATTTTTTTTCATAAAACAGAGGATGAGATAATAAGATGGCATGTCTAGACCATAGGTATAGATAGTATCTATTTTTTGACTCTTTGGATGGTAAAGTGAAATGTCATCCAGAAAAAGTGTTTTTGTGATACCAATCTGTAATTATCTTATTATCCTTGATAATTAAAGAAATATTGAGAAAATAAATGCAACGGTTCTCTATCCATCGTGAACATCATCTTTCATGGTAATTGTTCATCTTTATGAACCACTAATAAGTCATTGACATATCTGAAATAAAATAATAGATCCAGTGTGCTCGAGACTTTCCTCTAAATCTTACATGACATATGATCGGCTATGATTGGCGACAAAGAAAAGTCCAAAGATCTGTTTATAAATACCGTTATTAAAAGTAAAATAGGTAGATGAAAGAACAAGTTTAATTGCAAATAGAAATTCTTCTTTTGGTAATTTTGTAGACACTTAACCTATGGTTGGTATTAAAAAGCTGAGCTCTTTTTAATACCAACCATTGCCAGATCCAAAGGAATGTTAGTAAAAAGAGATGCGACATCAAATGAAATAAGCATATCATTCTCATCCACAACCATACCTGAAAGTTTGTTAGCTAATTCAAAACTATTATTTACAAAATCCCTCGCCTTAGAAATGCTATCAGAGATTTTTTTTAAATCAATAATACTTTTAATAAATTCAATTTAATAAAACAAATCAACAATAATAAATTAAAAGGATTATGAGCCAGATCTATCTATCTCCCTTCAGACCTAAGGAGATCTTTGGTCTCACATATGAACCAGATAAATCGTTTAATATTTAAAAAGTAAAAATAATCATTGCAAGCATAAATATTATAAACATTATAAACATTATAAATATCTGATTTATTTATAATGTTTATAATGTTTATGTTTACAATTATTTTTACTTTTTAAATATAATATTAAACGATTTATCTAGCCCTTCTTAATTTCCTCTTGTTTTTATTATTCCTTCCTTCATAGTTTCATCCATATTTCTATCCTCTCTTATTTTCCTCCTCCTACCATTTTCCAACTAACTCTTACCTTCCTTCCTTTGAATGTCATTTTTGTGATTTCATTTTGTCTTGACATCGGGGGGAGACAAGATATTTTTACTTCTTTTCGCATTGTCTCTAAGTTTAAGGCACTGTGTGTATCCGAAACTCCTTTCATTTCAACTTTTTTTGACTTAAAGTATGTACATTAAAGTAAGGTATGTTACATTAAAGATATGCATATTTATTTTAGCTGTTTAGTTACTATATCTAACATAAAAAACTTTCTAGTCAATATAGAGATAAAAAATTTTTTGCAATCTTAACTCTTCACTAATTTTGCTGAGTATTATCTCATATATTACATTGTTTGTATGCTAGTCTTTAATGATTCATCTCGTTTTCTAAAAATTTGTTATATTATACTTTATATTCAGTTATATTATTTCAATCTTGCGCTATATTTTTATTTATATTACATGTTTTTTCTACAGGGTCATACTCATGTTTGCGTTCTTCATTCACTTATAATAAAAAGATTCTCATTCCTTTTATCAAATTGATACTAGAAGCATATAATAATTGACTGCAAGTAATTATCATTCGTGTCCTTCCCGTTATACATTATAATTGTAATGTTACAATAATTATTTTTATGTTATCATTTATCTTAAAGAGCGAAATATTTATTGTATTATGTTTTGTTTATTTTTCAACCGTTATTTATTATGTATGTTTTTATTATTGATAATGATCCGATCGCGTTCGAAACGTCTATTGCTAGCATTCTTTATTAAAATTTCAACTTAAAACATTTTCGTTTCCTTTTTGTTTTTTTTTTTGTACTTTCTACTTATCTACTGTTCTGTTTTTGTATAATAATTTTTGGTTCATAGCCCTCTTTTTTCTTTGTTTTTCTTTTAATTTATTATTGTTGTTGATTTTATTCGTATTAATATTAGCCATATTAATATTAATTTATATTTTAATAAATTAATTTCAATTACATTTTATTAATTACATTTTATTAATTATCGTGTGTTAATTACAAATCATACCAACGAATATACGTACCGAATTTAGAGTTAACATCTTCTTTGCATACAATTTTCCATTTTTCAATCATTTCCGTTTCCTTCGGAAATGATAAATAACTGATTTTTTGTCTTTTCGTATTCCATGAATTATTTTTACAATTTCGTACTGCACACGACGGCATCGTAACGATCAAATAAATAAAGGTGAAATTACATGCAAGCGTCGAATGTCGGGCATCTGCGCAGAAGATTGCGCAGAAGTTCGAATCTCCAGACCTCTGCACAGCTTCTTAACGCAAAATTATGAGAGGTTATGTTCTGATCATGAAGTATAGAGAATAGGAGGCCGAATTAGACTTTGAAAAGGTCAAAATCAGGTTTCTGAATTAGTATTAGTAGTGCTCAATAGGCGGCGTTCGAATCGCAAACATTCTCATATAAGCTTACACAACCGAACACATAACCTAAAAATAGAGACATTATTCTTTTCATGCTCTGACAATAATAGGAAGATATAAATTGTCATTAAAATTGAATGAAATGAAGAATGGAGCGTTCTTCATGTAAAATTGATATGACCTACTATGCAAACTGCAAGAACGGTGTTAGAATTGTGTTAAAATTCCTCTAGTAAGAGTTAAGACATAAGAGCGGAAGAATGCCATTGCCAGTGTCGGTCGGAAACAACACAATTTAACAGAGTAAAGGTGTAGCCACAATAAAAGAAGTAAGGAATAAAGAATAAAGATTTCAACCTATCAGAAATCGGATACAATGGAATACACGTTTCTAATAAGTTGATATTGTTATTCCTCATTTCTAATTACCTTCTTTTTATTGTGGCTATACTATAAGGGCTGCGTTCAGATTCTCCACCCAATCCAGACACTCAGAAAGCATTCAGATTCCTTTTGAGTGCCTTTATTGAGTGTTTAGGTGAATGTTCAGATTCCTACCTCTATCCACCAGGGAGGATGGAAAAACTACCCGGTTCCTTGAGGGTATGGGTAGTGCTGTGTTAAAGACTTCCTGTGCTATCCCAGCATGTTTGACGTGCATCTATATGAAAATTTAAATTTCAGGTTATGTCTGTGTATTATAAACAGTATAAACCATAATTCAAAGGAAACCAAATATTTTATTAAGTTTTACAGGTCGTATTTAGATATTGGTAAGATATTTATCGTATATCTTTTATCATTATTATATACGTATTATTTATATACATATATTTTAATTATTTATATATAATTATATGTAAATTATATGTAATTCATATTAAATCTGATATTTACATTACTATTTACTGTAACTGATGCCTGTAGGACACTTGTTTTAGAATGCATTCAGATTCCCAAACCACTTTTCGCTAGGCTCCGCCCACTCCAGTTATCCAGCGATTCCGGTGAAGAATCTGAACACAGATCTGAACCTTGATCTTGATAATCCGATTTCGCGTTCGCGCCTTCTATATCATGAAACAGTTGCACACATCAATTCACAGATTTATTACCACATTGAAAGTATCTGCAAATGGCAGCATTTAAAAGGACTCAAAATCTGATCAATCAAGTGTTCCTCATGCCTTGATTTTTACCTCCCTACTAGAGGGACTTTAGGTGTCGTGGAACGAAAGCAACATCTTGATCGAACTAATTCAAATGACTACTTTTGACCACGCTATTTGACGGCCTCGTCCATATAAGTTCGATCTCCTATTCTCTATACTCCATGGTTCTGACTACCATTCTCTATACTACATGGTACACTACCATTTTAACATATAATGCTGAAAATTTATATTTATTTACATTATATAATGTAAACCACAAAATTCTATTATTAATGTATCTCGCACATTAAATTTAATTTTAGTAAAATTAATAAATTTAATAAATTAAAAAATTAATAAATTTCTGCTCATGCTTTAAGAACGCTCAACGCTTAATGCTACTATCTAAATTGTAAAGACATCTTAACACATCTATATCACCGGGGTGCGTTCCAAAACTTGAAACGCTCTGTTAAGCCGATTCTATAGATTGGCGACAGCCAATCTGAAGCTTGCATTTGAAATTAAGGTTTCATATTGGCTGTCGCAACAAACTTGCGATCAGCTTGCAATTAATGTAGAACTGACTTTACAGACTAAGAATTTGATGACACAAGTCGATATAAATTGATATAAGCGTCATTTCCTTGTTGACATTCAGAAATTGAATGACAAAGACAGAACGACACTTGTCGACTTACCTCTACTGTATATCGGGTGCTTTCCATTTGATGATACAAGTCGACTATATCGACTTGTATCATCAAATAGAAAGCACCCAATATACAATAGAGGTAAGCAGCGTCGGCACCTTTGATCTTTTTGACAATTTTGAGACGAGTTTTCAGGATCCGCCGTGTCTTCGATGACCAAATATCATCATATCAGTAGTATTAAGCTGACTTTTCATACGCAGCACGTTGCAGCAACAATTCGTAACTATTGGTTACAAATTTTACATGAGATGACGCACTTTCGACGCAAAATACATTTTGCTGAGTCTCATTGAACCAAACGAACAACAAACAGCAAAGAATTCGAAACCAAGAAAGTTTGCAATATTTGCAAAAAATGTAAAAATTGAATACATTTATAATAAGTATAATAAGTACATTTTTATTAAGATTTGAAGTGATGGAGATATTTTAAATTCTAAATAATTACCTGAAATGATATTTGTCCAAATTGTAACTGCACAGTTGCTATATAATCACAAGTTTTTAGCTTTTTAAGTTTTTCCTATTAAGGCTGCATTCCGTTTCATGTATGATGCGTATTCTGCATTACTTAGCCTTGTGATGATAACAAGGATAAATGATGCATCATGCGCATCATGCGAGAAACGGAACGCAGCCTAATCCTTTTCGACCTGAGCAAATAAAAGACACATATTTGAGATTAAACTTTAATACATATGCTGTTGCCGTTATTCTTTTTCATGCGCAGCAAATGCAGCAAAAGCAATTGAAAAATTGCATCACGTGACATTTTTGCTATTGCAACGTGCTGCGCATGAAAAAACATCTTAATGGCACTTAAATTATGGACTCTGCTTTCGGTATTAGTGCCACTAAAAATGTAGCCGCTAATGATGCGCAAGCAAATCTACGCGGTTGAAATCAGGATCTTGTCCTTACTATTACTGACAAGATACTATTAAAGACCATCAATCTTGGATAAATTTTTAGTGCAATATACAAAGAACTCTAAGGGCTTGGAGGTAATTGAAGAACGCTAATTATCGACAATTGATATAAATTTGCTATTATAAATATTTGGCTCATATATTATTAGGTGTAGTAAAAAGAAATTCATTATTTTTACATGAAATTGAATGGAAAATTAAAATTAAATGCATTGATGATTTTTTATTACATAAATGTTCCATAAATAAATATACATACTTGTAAAGTTATAATATCCATATGTTGCAGAAAAATTATAATTTTTTCTCTGCAATTATTATTTCTGTTGATCAACTTTGACGATAACACTGAAATCATAATTTTAAAGAAAAATTAAGTATTATTAAGTTCTAAATGCATAAATATGTCTACAAAAGTAATAAATCATAAAATTAGTACAATATTATCAGTTTTTAATTCTTAATCACTTCAATATTCACAAGAACGTTGAACTCCGATAAGGATATTGGTTTTTAATAATATTTCGTCGGTGTTACTGTATATCCATGGAGTAATAAGGGGTTTCGCACAATAAAAGAAACAAGGAACAGAGAATAAAAATTTCAATCTATCAGAAACTGTATTCCACAATACATGATTTCTAGATTGAAATTTTTTATTCGCTGTTCTTTTTATTGTATAAAGTCCTAAAGAAGGAGACCAAACTCAAGAGGTCGGTCACGAAAAAAGTTAGCTCGAAACACGGTATAGGAAAAGCCATAGAAAATTCGACAGATATGATTTTAGTGCCATCACGCCTTACAGGTATTGACACATGATCGCAAGTATCGCAAGTCACATATGTATCTACCCATACATCTACATGCAAACATACATACATTCGTGCGACTGTGATTACGTGATAGTCAATACTTCTAACTTTTCCCGCAAGGTGATGGCACTAAAATCACATCTATCGGATTTTTTATGAATTTTCCTATATCGTGTTTTGAGCCAACTTTTTTCGTAATCAGTCACTTGATCTTCTTCTTATTAAACGGGAAGCACACTCTTGTGTAACGCATAAAACATGAGGCATAAAAAAATGAACAGAGTCCTTTATTTCCTTTCTTTCCATAAAATAAAGGATTCTGATTGGTTTATTTTCTTATGCTTCATGTGTTAGAGGCTCCGCACAATAAAAGGAACAAGGAACAGAAAACTGAGAATAAGAATTTCAACCTAATCCTGCACACAGAATGCGGCAATACTTGCCGCGCGACAGAAATTGGCGTGATAGCCAATCAATCTTGCTTGCTCGGAAATAATATTATAGTTACATAATTTCCACCGCGCAACAAAAATTGAACTCAATCCAACTTTTGCCGCGCGGCGGAAGTAATACATTTCTAAAAGTTTGCATAGTGAGGCCGACTTAAGAACACATACCCGTAATCATAGTCAGATCTTGTACTTAAGCTTCCTTAAATTTATCTTTAGATGCAGCCAATAAAATAATTCATGGAGCTTGACTATGAATACGGGCAATAGAATTATTGGTTAGTGCGATAACTTCCGCCGCGCGGCAAACTTTACCGCGTTCTGTATACAGGAATAAAAAAAACAGACCTGAGATTGAAAGTTGAAAACTGCAAATTATAGAGTAGAATTCGATCAATTGGAACAAAACTAATTAAAATAATAATTAATTAAAAGATTAAAATTATAGTTATCTGATTAATCCGAATCTTAAAATACGCGCCGTTATCACTCGTAATCGGAAGCGGCAGATCACGTCATCTAGTGAAACTTGCTGCAAACTGCAAGCAATTCGACTAATTTGGACGATCGACTTCCGTCGTGGCCGATTTACGCAACAGACAGATAATCAGTCTGCTCATATAAGCGTTTTTCGTGCGAGATTTTCAGCGAGAAGAAATGTTGCGCGTCGTAGCGACACGCGTGGCTTCAGCAGCGCGCATCGCGATTATGCCGCAGATCTCCATCGTCGGCACGCAATGCATCAGAGCTACTCATAATGAGACCGACGACGAATTCGATCAACGATACGTGAATTTTTTCAACCGCAATGATATCGATCACTGGGAGATCCGAAAAGCCATGAACGATCTGGCTGGTAAGCTCGCGTTAATTTAATTGCCTCTGTTGACAAATGATCTAAATCTTAGACTATTGAAATATGACACCTCATACTGATGATGATTCTCTTATTGCAATTTTTATCTATCCGTTGTAGACACGAGAAGTAGTGAAGTAAAACGCGGCTGTTCTTTTCAGATTGCATTTTATTTTGTATTGTGTTTGCCTAAACAATGTTCTGGTACATACCATCGAATGTCTCTTTAGTCACAACTTCTATTAAAGTTTTATTAAAAACTTCTATTATAAAACTTGTATTAAAAAGTAAATAGGAAGATATCTTATTTGGTCTGAGCTAGATCTTAATATTTAATAATATTTTAGTATTTAGTGAATTTATATACAGAATTGAATGTGTGTATAATTTCATACTGAAATATTAAGTATTAAGATCTAACTCCAGATCAAATAAGATATTTTCCTACTTATTATTTGTATCATTTATATATCAGTCTAATGTCATTGATTATTGCTTATGTTTAAGTCCTTTAAACTTCTATTAAAATTTCTTTGGAAGTTATACTTAAGGAACAACTTTTCCATCTATGTATTTGCCTTTCCGAGATTCATATTGCTATGAATGTTTTATTTTTAATCATTAATTCAAAAAGAAAATAGATTTTTCTTGAATTATCATTTAAATTTACATTTGAAAAACCAGACATTGATGATATTCTATTATAAAACAGAAAGAAGCTATTTATTTTTATCATGCAAGTATTTTTTTAATCAGGTAATTGCAAAGACTATCTTTATTTTATATTGACTTATTATAAATGCACATCCATATATCAATTGTAAAATAACAAATTCATTTTGTTTTGTTTAGGTATGGATCTTGTGCCAGAACCAAAGATCATATGCGCAGCATTGAAAGCTTGCCGAAGGTTAAATGATTTTGCTCTCGCCGTAAGGTTCATAGAGTGTATAAGAGATAAAGGTGGCCCACATGCTGCTCAAATCTATCCTTACATTCTTCAAGAAATCAGACCCATCTTGGACGATCTAGGTATCAGTACACCCGAGGAGTTAGGATATGATAAGCCAGAATTAGCTTATCCAGAAATACATGAAATGTAATGGACTAAAAATATACTGTATAAGTCCTAGTATTTATATATTCGTAACTGCTCCCTCAGATGCAAACATTGAGAATAATTTGTTAGTTAAATTGAATTAGACATGTATGCATTCCCAGCAGCATTGTTGAATAAATAACCACAATTGTAATTAATGTCTGTTAATAAAAAATCAAAACTTAATATTATATATAAGATATGCCAAAATTTTGAGATTTAATTTTAAAGA